GTGTTGGTCCTTTTGCCTTTGTCACAGGGAGAGATGAAGAGCAGCAAACACCAACTATGGTTTCCCAAAACCCAGGAAGAGGGGGCTCCTAGAACCTTTACTTCCAGCCAACCTCTCTGTTTCTGCAGAAGAGAAATGAGCAGGAAAAGGAGGAGGCCAAAGAAGAGAGGGGGTTAAGGCTGATGAGGGAATCAGAAGCCAGGCTGGAGGGACAAGCACTCCAGTCCCAAGCATGATGCCAACTCGCCAACTTCTCCAGCAAGCAACTGACCAGACCAGTTAAAACTCCACTCAAGGAGGAATGAACTCACCTGGTCTGAAAGGGCAGCCACAGACCTCTCCTCACATTTCTAGATAACTAGCGATCCTGGAGATGGTCCCTCCCCAACACACTAGGGCCCTCCCAGAATGGGGAAGATGGACAAGCGGGTGGGGAGAAAGGAGGGGCTTTGGGGTAACAGGCACCCTCCCCCGCACCCCTACCCCCGCCCAGGGAGATGTACTGTTTTAAGACTTTGAGGATCGCACTTATTCAAACCCCTGCGCATCCTCCCCAGGTCGTGAGTTTCAGTTGCCTTAGCCCCCAATCCAACCCCTGTAGAGCTGTCGGGGATAAAGTTTCTCCTTGAGGCGGACGCGATCTTCTACTTCTTGGGAGTGGAGTGGAGAAAAAATAGCCCAGCTGAGTGTCTGTGGGAACTTGAGGTGGGAGGAAAAGGGACTAGATTTTCACTCCTCTCCCCGGAGTGAGCCCATTGCAGCCACTAAAGGGAACAGGGTGGTGGTGACCGAGCTCCAGGCAGCCAAGCCGGCGGACCGCAAGAGCCAGGGGCAGGGTCTCCGCGTGTGCACACTACGGGGAAGGGCAGGGGCACGTGAGCATCGCCGCGGCTCGCTCGCTCTCGCTCTCGGTGGCTTCTCCTCTCCTTCTTGGCTCACGGGCTGTGTCCCGGGTCGCTCCCTAGCCACGCGCTGCCTTCCAGGAATCTTCCTCCTCTTCTCCGGTCTCTCCTGCGCACTCCCCGGCCCAGTCTCAGCTCCAAAAGCAGGACTTGCCATCTCCGCCCAGTGCATGGGGCAGGATCCGGGTCTCCGCCTCCCGAGCTGCAGTCCCCTGCCTCGGCCGCCTCGGGCTACGTGCACTGCCGGGCACCGAGCACCCCAGCTCGTCCGCCTGGGTCGGCGCTTAGCCGTGCGGTCTCCCCGGGCTGGTTTCCCTCTATCCCCACGCCAACCCGCCCCGCTTGCTCCCGCTTCGCGGCACTCCTTGCCTCTCCGTCTGGACTCCCGGTCCTGACCCAGTCTCCCTCCGGGAGGCTCGGTCCTCAGCACGCCCCTAGGACCCCCCGACAGTCCGGCCTTGGTGCCCTCTCCCAGTCCGGCTCCGCTGGGTCCGGCTGGCGCCCTCCCACGCGGGGTCAGCCCGCAAGTCTGCGCCGCTCTCCCCGGGTCCGCCCCTCGCGCCCACTCGCTCCCCGCTCGCCCATCCCCGGGCTCCGTCTGCAGCCGCCCGGTCCCGGGCGCTTAGCTCACCCTCGCTCGGCGCCGGCAACAGCAGCAGCAGCAGCGGCAGCAGCAGCGGCGGCGGCGGCGGCAGGAGCCCGGGCCAGCGCAGCGCAGGCGGGCGGCGCGGAGACGCGGCGCGCGGCACAGCCATGGGGCTCTCGGTCCGCTCGGCTCGGCGACGCGCGGCTCCCGGGCCTCTCGCGGCTCACAGCGTCCCGCGGGGCCGGCGCCGGGGCCGGGGCTGGGGCTCCGGCCGGGGCCGAGCCCGGGCGGCGGGGGGCTGGGGCCGCATGCCTGCTCAGGAGCGCGGGGGGCGCAAGGGGAGCGCGGCTTGCGCCATCTTGCACCCACCCGGGCGATCTGTCAGCCTCGCCCGGGGTGCGCGCTGCACACTCGCACCGCTCGCGGCCGCCCCGCCCTCCTCCCCAGCCCGCCGCCCCCCTCCTCTCCGCTCCCGGTCCCCTCCCCCAACCCCTCTCCCCGGAGGCCCGGTCTGGGGAACAAAAGAGCCGGCAAGCGCTTTAAGCGGCCGGACATTCCCGGCTGCGCGGCGGACGCGCCCCCTGCGCTTTGAACTGTGGCTGGAGCGTCCGGCGCAGTCCCGGGCTGCAGCCGAGTATCTCCTCCCCGTGGACCAGCCTGGGACCTGGGGGACTGGGGAGTGGGTCCGGGCTGCGGAAAGACACTCACAGCTGCGGGATTCGCTCTGACCCACTCTTTTCTGTTGCACCCTCCTCCGAGTCCATATTTTAGAGATAATTCCCTAAAAAGCTACATAAAGTTGTCAAAGATTGAGTTTTCCATGGATTTCTGGTCCTTCCACTCAAAGGAAAGATCATGTAGCTGCAAGATTGGCTTCTCTGGACCGAGGAGCCCTCTTCTGACTCTCCACTACGGTGGATTGCCTGGAGAGAACAGACCCAGCAGGACAATGAGAGCTCTAAAGGGGGCTGGCTTCCGACCTCGCCCTGCTGCCTAGCCCAGTCACTATCCCCAAGCTCATCTGAAACATGAAAATAATCTTATCTCTCCTGTTCATCCCTAGAGACCTTTAAACCGCAGAGGTCCTGACAAATGACCTGGTAACTGGAAAAGCACATAGAAAGTTAAAATTCCCAGTAACGTTTCTGTGCCACAAAGAAGGCCCTCAATCATTCGCGTTAGAGAGCATAAAAGGTCCCACGTGAGAATGTTACAGAAGGTAAGCATGTCTCTTAGAACTATGCTCATACTAGCCCTCAGAGGTCTTGAATCTTGGCCACTTGCTATTAAATAGTCTTCTGTTGAGTCCAGCATGATGGACTAGTCCATCAAAATTAATGAACAGCTGCTAAGTTCTAGGAGCCAGAGATTTAAAGGTGGCAGGCTAGGCTTGATGGCTCACACCTGTAATCCCAGCACTTTGGGAGGCCAAGATGGGCAGATCACTTGAGCCCAGGAGGTCAAGACCAGCCTGGGCAACATGGTGAAAACCTGGCTCTACAAAAAATACAAACATTAGCCAGACATGCTGGTGCATGCCTGTAGTCCCACTGCACTCCAGCCTGAGCAACAGAGACCCTGCCTCAGTAAATAAATAAAGAATAAATAATAAATAAATGGTGGTCTAATGCAGCCATTTGCTACTTTGGCTCTGGACTGGGATGGCAGAGGAAAAACTAAGTCTCTCTTTTGATACCAACTCTGGAACTTTCGGACTGGGAGTGTTAAATATGTAAAAAACTAACTTTGGTGCACATAAGCGAGGAAGTACAGGTCTCCAGAAATCAGAGTGGCTGTCGACGGACAGGTTTACTAATGATGGGGCTGGCATACCCCAGGACTCTTCACTCTGTGGTAGCTACTGGAAGATGAGCCTGAGAAGCAGGACGTGAGGCGCGTGAGCAGCGGGAAGCAATGGAAAAATTCTAGGTCGAGGACCCCAATGTGCCAAAGCCCTATTGGATTTCCTTGTGAGAAAGAGTGGGAGTGGTGGTCTACCAGCCATAGGAAAGGGAGGGGAAGGGCCTCCCCGGGCCTAAAATCCTGGAACTCCCTCCTGCAGGGCTTGAATTCCCAACAACCCCTTCCTGGCTTGTCCTGGACTCAGAAGAGGTCAAGTTGGTGTCTTGAATTGCTGTCATTTAAAATTCATTTTGACAAGTGTTTAATTCTTCTTTATCACAACGCTTGGTCTGAGAGTGATATGCAAATAATGGCTATTCTGCCGGGTGCAAAATGTGCAGTATCTCTCTGTCTGATCTGTCAATTAACTCTGGGTCTGGCCCACAAGCTCCTTTAGGGGTGGTCCTGAGCAAGGCAGCCTCTAGCTCTTGATTCCCTCCAATAGAAAGCACGTTCCAGGCTCTATAAAGACCTTAGCAGAGAGCAGCTGCCAACTGTGATGCCAGGATGTGTGTGGGGTGTGTGGAGTTCTGTGTGTGACTGTGTGCACATTTGCATTAGTGGTCACAAGGGTGTTTGTGAAGGCAAGTATGCATGTGTGGGTCTCTGAGCTTGTATACACAGTGCAGATGTGTGTGATTGTGTGATCATGAGAAATTCTGGTGACCAGAGGTATACAATATATATATTTGGTGACCAGAATATTTGTGGACCCCAAATCTCTGGAGTTGTTCCCTCTGTCCTGCACCCAAGAAAGTTCAGAGAAATGTGTGCCCAGATGGAAAGAGATACCCAGGGAGTCTAAGGAAGTGCCATCAAAGAACCCATCTTTCCTACATTGGCATCTTTTTCTTAAGTACCTGTTGAGGGAGGAAGATGCTTTAGTTCTTTGCCATGACCACCTGCTCTTTAACCTCAAAAATCACCATTCTAAGCCATGCCTGTAATTCCAACACTTTGAGAGGCCAAGGCGGGAAGATCACTTGAGGTCAGGAGTTCGAGACCAGCCTGCCTAACATGGTGAAACCCCATCTCTACTAAAAATACAAAAATTGGCTGGGCGTGGCAGCAGGCACCCATAATCCCAGCTACTCGGGAGGCTGAGGCAGGAGAATCACTTGAACCCAGGAGGCAGAGGTTGCAGTGAGCCGAGATCATGCCACTGCACTCCAGCCTGGGCAACAGAGTGAGATTCCTCTGAAAAAAAACAGACAAAAAAACACTATTTTGGGCCAAGGGGTGTGGGTCATGCCTGTAATCCCAGCACTTTCAGAAGCTGAGGCAGGAGGATGGCCCGTGACCAGGAGTTCAAGACCAGCCTGGCCAGTATGGCAAAACCCTGTCTCTACTAAAAATACAAAAATTAGCCAGGCATGATGGTCCACACCTGTAATATCAGCTACTCGGGAGGCTGTGGTGAAAAGACTGCTTAAGCCCAGGAGGTTGATCTGCAGTGAGCCACAATTGTACCACCACACTCCAGCCTGGGCGACAGAGAGAGATCCTGTCTCAACAACAGCGACAACATTTCCCATCCCAGTAAGAAATAAACTCCCTAGAGCAGAAAGGCTGAGGAAATTCTAGTCATAGTCAATGGTTCCAAAGGAGAATTCCGCGTTTCTGGAAAACAGTTTATTATTTCATTATAAGGACAGATACATGAATCAATGCCTTAGCTTAACACTAAAGAATATCATATTTGTAAGGAGAAAAAGAAAATGCTGGAAGGATAACTGAATAGTACAGCACTAAATACAGACAAATAAATGAGCAAGTACTGATTACACTTGTCATGCATCAAAAAAAGGAAGATTTTTAATTGAGACTCAAAAAACTTAAGGCATCGATGGTAGGTGACAAAGGGATTAATACCCTGGAAAAGGCCAATAGATTCTTTTCTAATAAAAATACTGCTACAAAGACACGAACCTAACACTTCCACATTACCCAGAGCGCAAATCATATATAATGTTAGCGAGAAATGGCCACTTTCTTATCAACTGTGAGTTATAGGCAAATACCAGATTTATTACTTATTTGCTTTTGAGAAACAATTTTCCACCCAGCCTAATGGGTTATAAATTGTCTCATTTGCAGCTATTTAATTTAAACCAGAACCTCAGTGCCTGTTAAACAAGAACATGAAAAATGACTGTGGTGTAATGCTAAGAGCCTACTGTTAAAATAGCCATTTAATTCAGGGCAGTTTTTTTCTTCTTAAAAAAAAAAAAAATCAAACCAGCAAAATAAAATGAGGCTTTTGACCTTCAGAGCAATGATGAAACATACACAGCGGTGTTAGCCAGAGTGCTACAGAAATAGTACAAGTGACAATTCTGTTTCTAACGAGATACAAAACCGACATTAATAATCTTTAGTGTTATCGCAGGCTGAAGGAGGGGGAGGAGGTGGAAATGTAGGTGCAGACATCAACAGTGAGTGACACCCGGTTGTAATAAACACAGATGCTTTCAGAGTTTGAGGCAGCCACAACTGTGTTGAGAGACATTTCACCATTAAAAAAAAAGGAAAAACGGACTGGTTATTTCGAATTTGGCCCAGAAGCCAGAGTTAACTCTTGATGCGCCCATCAGACACTATTAGGGAGTAAAGACCCTGACATCTATGCTCCTATGAGAGGGCTGAGGTGAAAAACCAAATAAATGCCATTATTTTCACTACACAGAAAATAGTCAAGCTTGTCCCTCTGCGGCCGGTAAACAGAACATGACTTGAGGATTCAATTTAAAGAAAAAACAAACTGAAATTAACTAACCCTTTTCCTGTGCAAAGACCTCCCTGCCAGCACCCCAGAGGGTGAGATTCCTCTCATCCCCAACCCAGATCAAGTCACAGGGTGGGAAGGGCCTCGCTGAACTCTCACTCCTTCTCCTCCAGCTGCTGCTGGAAGAAAGACCCTGAATCATCTCCATCCGGTAAACTTGCCCCCCTGCATAGAACGGAGGGCGTATTTTTATTCTGAGCCTCTGGGTCACAGTCCCCTTCCCTGTTTCAAACATTCTCCTCTGTGACTTAGATCCATCCAAGGAGAACCTCCGGATCCCAATCCCAAGGAGAAACATGCAGAGGAGCCGGGAAAGATGCAGGGAAGCCGAGAGGTCTTCTCCGCACCCGCTCTGGGCGCGGGCGGGCTGCCTGGGGCGGGGCAAGCAGAAGCACTGAGCGAAGAGGAGGCAGGAGGGTGGCAGGCGAGTGGGCCTGAAGCAGACATGAGGTAGTCACGTTGTTAGAGAAGGATGCAGAGTTTGAACCCAGACAGGAGAACCAGATGACGCAATCTGGGAATAGGCGCAAGAGACGGCAGAGGAAAGAAAACAGGAGAGAGAAAAGGGAAGAGTATCCGGGAGCAGAAGGGCACTGGTGCTGGGAAAACAGGGTGACTGGGAGACAGACCACTAGAGCAGTCAGGGGCTAGGAAGGAGGGGCAGAGCGGGAGAAAGCGGATTTTCCAAACCACGCACTTCCCAAATTAGAAAATTCAAAGGGGAGTTGCTCAGAAGGGAACCAGGATCACCCTCTCAATTTGGGTAATAAAGAGCCGGGAGGCGATGCAGCTAAAATGCTGGGTAGTCGGAGCCTACTTGCACTCAGCCCAGCCGGACAGGAAAACGGGCCGGGACTGTCTTTGTCAGACAGGCACTGGAGACACTCTCAGAGTGTGTAATAAAGGGCTGGCTGATGGAGGTGGGGGCCCACAGGGCTGGGGACTGACCACTCTGGGGCACTATCCTGACCTGGAGGACCAATCAGGCTGTAGTGACCACTGCCTGGGCTATGGCTTCCCAGCTCACCAACCAGTACACACATGTGCGCTTCACATATGTGCAAATCACATGTAGCTGTGTCTCATATGTCTCTCACGTCACATGTGTATCACAAAGACTATGCGGGGAGTAAATAATCCATTTCTTCCTCTCCCCTCCCAGCCAAAGCACCTCAGGAAGCTCCAAAGGGCTTGACGATGTATCTACAGGCACACATGTGGACATGCATGGCCTCAGGTGTCGAATCCTGTGTGATCCATACCTGCCTGCCCCAAACCACACCCTCTGGGAGGAGCTAGGCAGAGGAGGAAACTGGGGATCCGGGCAGGCCTGGGCTGGCTCCTAGAGGGCGGGGGACTTTGAGCTGGCAGCTGTCTCCAGGGATCTCCAGCACCTTGCCTGGCTGGAGGTCCGGGTAGGAGCAGGAAGTACTCGCTGCCTCTGGCAAGCAGGTAAGTCTGTCTGGCCTGGGGGCTGCCAGTGCATACCCTCCCAGCTCCCTATCCAGCCAGGCTGCCCCCTGCCCTGGATCCCCAACACCCGAGATGAGATCAGGAGCCTCCGGACGCAGGGGGTCCTCAGACTCCAGGTCTTGGACATGGAGGTCAGGGTTCTCCTTAGATGCACTGAAGTCAGAGTGGACGATGACTTCGGCCTCCACCTGGTTCCTGCAGGTGGGGGGTGACTTCTTCCTCCCATTGCCCTGATCAGAGCAGAGAACACAGAGACAAAGTGACCATTACTGAGAGAAATCATCAGAACGACCAGCGGACATGGGGCAAAGAGACTGACCCTCCATCAAAGTAGCTATCACACAAGAGCCGGTAAAGAAAGGATACACAGGAACTGTTGGAACCCATGCCAACAATTCCGTGCAAGGAATGATAAGATACTTCCCAATTGCTCTTGTCCAAGAGTTTCAGGAGTATCAGCCTCAGTCGGGGCCTCTGTGGGGAGGAGGAAGGGCTGGACTACTCAGGCCAGCCACACCCTCAGATCCACAGAACTGCTGTGGCCCTCTTAGGTCCGGGTAGCGGAGGGACTGTTTTCAACGCAGGTTGAAACAGGTTCCTGACAACTGGCCTGCCCTCCACTTACTCAACCTCTGGAGGCTCCAGGGGTTTCCTGGCTAGACTTCTATCCCCAGGGAAGTTACCACCCAGGGGTCTCCAAAGAACTCATTACTTCCTCTTCACAAGCACAGAGACCCTTCCCTCCTTTCCTGCCCTTTTCTCCCAGGACGCTGACCTTGATGGCTTCATACACCAGAGCCTGCAGCAGCAGCGTCTGCCCAGTTCCAGCAGGAGGCAGCAGAGCCCGGGTCAGAGCTGGCCGGGGGCCTGCCTGGGGCAGCTCACAGCCTGCCCAGGAAGCCGCCCAGCTCTGCCCGATTGGTGGAGCCCAGGAGATCTGTACAGGGAGAAGAAGGGGACACTGAGGGGCACAACCAGGACTGGCTGGGAGAGGGAAGCCCAGGGGAGGGAAGTGGATGGACCACGGGGAAGCAGGGTCCAGACTCTCACCCGCTGCTCTCTCCCTCCCCAAGTCTCAGGGGAGGAGCACCAAAAGGACTGAGAGTCAGAGATGGACTCTGGGGATGAGTCCTCCAGCAGGGGAGCAGAATACCAGACACTCTGCAAAGCCTGAGGTATCCCAGCTAGTCGGGGAGAGAGTGAGGGAGGGAGGGTTGGAATCGGGTGGGATGTGCCACCCCTGCCAGTGTGAAAAGGACCAGCCCTGTAGGGGCCTCACCTTATCCTGGTCCCAGTCCCACTTGGCCACAGCCAAGGTGACCGCCCTCTTCTCCCCATTCAGGGATGGCTGGGTGTTAGAGGCCTCTCCAGCTCCTGGGATGGCTACCCTGAGTCACCTGCTGGGAGGCCCTCTCCTTTGTGAGAACCAGGCTAACCTATTCTGGTAGGGGATGGAGGCCCATGTGCTTCCCTGTCCAGCCAAGCCTTTCGTGGAGGAGGGAGAGAGGCCCTCGAGTCCACAGCTGTTTCCTAGGGGCAGGTAGGGCTGTGCTGGCAGAGCCACGCGTTATGCTCTAGCACCCCCTGGTGTCTTATTTAGGAATGAGCCACAGTGTGGGGTGCTGACCTACCTTTCTCTTGGAGTGACCCTGGCAGTCAGAAACACCACCACCCATAAGGCTGTGGACTTCAGCCCTGTCCTCTACATCTGAGGGTGGTGGGGACCAGTCCTGAAGATGGGGGTGCACAAGGGACTCCAGTTCATGGGCCCCTGGGGGACTGGTGGGGCCAAGCCGAGCTCTGGCGTACAGCGTGGGGTTCCCAGTGGTGGTGGTGGAGGACAGGCCTGGGAGGGATTCCCTGGAAGGGAAGATGGAAAACAAGGCCTAGTGGTCAGAGTGAGGGGTGGGGGTGGGACTGGGATCTGGTCTAGCCTATGTCTCTGGGCAGGTTCCTGCCCATCTCTGAGACTTGCTTTCCTGGTCTGTGCTATGAGTAAGAAAAATTGCTATTGTTCGCTGGGCTCAGTGGCTCACACCTGTAAATCCCAGCACTTTGAGAGGCCTAGGTGGGTGAATCACAAGGTCAGGAGTTCAAGACCAGCCCGGCCAAGATGGTGAAACCTCATCTCTATTAAATATACAAAAATTAGCTGGCCACAGTGGCAGGCGCCTGTAATCCTAGCTACTTAGGAGGCTGAGGCAGGAGAATCGCTTGAACCCGGGAGGCTGAGGTTGCAGTGAGCCAAGATCACGCCTAGGTGACAGAGCAAGTCCCCACCTCAAAAAAGAGAAAAAGAAAAAACTGCTATGGTTCAAAACAGCCTGATGCTATGAACAGGGCCCTTCCTCCCTTGGCTCCAGGCATCTGGAGATTTGGGGCCCCTCTTTCCAAGATGCTGGCAGCTACCAAGGAAGTGGGAGCAAGGCATTTCTGTTGGCCTTGCTGCAGGGGGGTGGGCTGGGGCTCCCCTAAGTCCACTCTTCATTCTCATGAGGACGTTGTCCCTGATCCCTTCATCCCAGAGTCCTAACTTTAATGGGGCTCCTGGGAATGCCAAGGGCGAGTCGTGGCCACTTTCCTTGATGGCCCAGTCTGCAGCCCTTCCTGGAAATCTCCCTTCCCTGCAACCAAGCTGGCTCCCCTGCCCACCTGTGGGAGCTGCGGCGCAGGCCAGCACACATGCAGGCCAGGAGGCAGAGGAGGCCCAGGCAGACACCCACGATGATGCCCGTGACTGAGTGCATGTCCAGCGAGTCTGGTGGGGAAGAGAGAGGCACAGAGCAGGTCAGGACAGAAGATCAGGGCTATCCATGGCTTTCTCAGGAGACACCAGCTGGAGCCTCACCCTTCAGATGCTCACAATCTTCTGATACAAGGACAAGAGGGCCCTGTGACCTCACAGAAACTACTACTGCCTCTCCCTCTGACTGTCCTCCCTGAAACACACCCAGAGGCTGTGGTCTCTCCTCCTCAAACTGGCCTTTTGGTGAAACAGACTCTGCCTCAAAAAGAAAAACATATAAAAATTATCTGGGTGTGGTGGCATGTGCCTGTGATCCCAGCTATTTGGGAGGCTGAGGCAGGAGAATCCCTTGAACCCAGGAGGCAGAGTTTGCAGTGAGCCGAGATGGCACTATTGCACTCCAGCCTGGGCAACAAGATCAAAACTCAGTCCAAAAAGAAAAAAAAAAGCCAGGCTGGGCACAGTGGCTCAGGCCTGTAATCCCAGCCCTTTGAGAGGCCAAGGCCGGTGGATCACCTGAGGTCAGGAGTTCGAGGCCAGCCTGGCCAACATGATGAAACCCCATCTCTACTAAAAATACAAAAATTGGCCAGGCACGGTGCTCAGGCCTGTAATCCCAGCACTTTGGGAGGCTGAGGCAGGTGGATCACGAGGTCAAGAGATCGAGACCATCCTGGTCAACATGGTGAAACCCCGTCTCTACTAAAATACAAAAAATTAGCTGGGCATGGTGCCATGTGCCTGTAATCCCAGCTACTCAGGAGGCTGAGGCAGGAGAATTGCCTGAACCCAGGAGGCGGAGGTTGCGGTGAGCCAAGATTGCATCATTGCACTCCAGCCTGGGTAACAAGTGCGAAACTCCGTCTCAAAAAAAAAAAAAAAAATACAAAAATTAGCCAGGTGTGGTGGCATGCCCCTGTAATCCCAGCTACTTGGGAAGCTAAGGCAGAAGAATCGCTTGAACCCAGGAGGCAGAGGTTGCAGTGAGCCGAGACTGTACCACTGCACCCCAGCCTGGGCAACAGAGCAAGACTCTGTCTCAAAAAAAAGCCTGTCCCCCACGAAACTGACCTCTGAACCAAGTCATCACTCATTACTGAACCACACCTATTTCCCTTTCACAGTTGCTCTGCCCCCACCAAACGAGGAGGACAGCTGTGCAAAACAATGAAATTAGAGTTGTGTCCACAGGCAGGGGCTTGGAAGTGAACTCCAGGGGCCTCTGGGAACCCTAGGCTGCCCTGCTCTCATACCTGACAGCTTCTCCTGGAGCGTGATCACATCCTGCAGGCGGGAGAAAGGCCCAGGCCCCACCTCTGTGCGCGCCCCCATCTTGAAGAAGTACCGAGTGTCGCTCTCCAGGCCATGTACCTCAGCACTGAAGATGTTTCCTGGGGGTGAGGGAGGCAGGGAGAGCAGGGATGGTGGATGGGGTGGTGGTGGATGCAGAGGTGGGCAGGGAAGCGGGACTGGGAAAGCCTGCTCTCCACTCAGGCAGCAGCTTCTGCCTGCTTCTCCTGGAAGCCCGTGGAACAAACCCTAGCACTGCTCTCACTGCTGGAAGTGGGAGAAGCTGGGAAGCTCTTGTTCAGATGTCCTGGGGCAAGAGTCCTCACCCTCTGTGGTCAGCAGGGTCCACTGGTGCTCAGGCCGCGTGTGATTGTTGCTGTAAAGGATCAGATACTCCACGATCTCCCCATTGGGCTCTGTGGGGGGGCACCAGCGCAGCCGAACAGTGGACGGTGTCAGGGGGCTCAGTTGCAGGTCAGATGGGGGTGTGGAGGGCCCTGGGGTGCAGGAGAGGAGATGGGAAGAGATGTCAGAGATAGAGACAGAGCATGAGGACATGACCTCCCTTCTTCCTCCTTCATGGAACAAGCCACAAAATAAAGATGAGGTCTGGTTTCTAGTTGGGGAATTCTAGAAGACAGTGTGGTGGGTGGTGGGACTTGACATTTCTCCCCTCCCAGAAACTCTTTTGCCCCCAGCTCTGCCCAAACCTGGAGTTCTGAGGGATGCTTCTTGCCGCGGGGGCAAGAAGGAGTTGGGTAAAAGATAGGTTGGCGGCCAGAGGCTGGGAGCCACTCACGGTCAGGCAGGGTGGAGAGCTCCATCACAGAGCCGAAAGGCCCATCCATGTCCACGCCATGAGACTGCACTGCAAACTCGTATTTGGTGAATGGCTTCAAGCCACCAATGAGGATGTCTTCTCCAGAACTGCTAAGGCAAGAAATGTGACTAGTGCTCCCAGCACTCCCAGCAGGGCAGACCCCTCCAAATCTACTGCCCTGCAGCCAGCTCCAGGCTCTGCCCTGGGAAGGGTAGATGCTCCCTGGCCTGGAAGCCACTACCTCTACCCAGGGACCTACAGAGAAGTCTGGATATATGCTGCTCCAAGTCCAAGCTCAAAACCAGGCCCCGCCCCCCTCCACCGCCCACCTCCAGGAAGCCTTCCTGGATTAAACCAAGTTATTCTCTACCTAAGGAATCATCTCTGATGTATCTTTTCTTTGCCTGAATTTTGCCTTCATGGCAATGACATATATCAATTGCTTTTTATGTGAATTTCCTCCTACAAGCCAGCAGCTCCTCAGGCTCTGTCTCCCCAACTGATAACATGTAGAGAGAACACCTCTGAGGACAGGGGCCGGGCTCTCTTCACCATCAGATTGGGAGCCTTCTGAGGTTGGAGAAACAGGTCTGTGTCACTTTCTCCAGAGTTTGAGAACAAGGCTCTGTTTTGAGAGGACAGGATTGGATGGGCTCCTTGCTCCCATCTGGTCACCAGGCAAGGATGTGGACCCTGTGCAGCCCCCCTGTGTGGCCCCAATGTAATGGGCAAGCCACGACATGCTCCTGAATCCTGGGACCCTGCCCTTATCACTACCTGCTGCCTTCCCCCTGCTTCCTACCTGCTCCTCCTCCCCCCTTTTTAGTAAAGGCATTAGTCCCCACCTGGTGTAATAGGTGACCAGGGAGGTATTCCTGAGTCCCCAGGGGCTGAAGCGTACAGTGTAGTTGACAATCTTGACTGTGGTGAAGTCTGGCTTTTTCCACCAAAGCCAGATGGATGTGGAGCTGTTTGATTCCGCATGGACGTGGGCTGGGGGCAGGGGTGGCCCCCTTTGGATGGGCATGTCTGAAAGGTGAAAACTAGAGTGTGAGGAAGGGAGGGAGGGAGGATACTCTTTTTTATTTTTATTTTTTGAGATGAAGTCTTGCCCTGTCACCCAGGCTGGAGTGCAGTGGTACGATCTCGGCTCACTGCAGCCTTTGCCTCCAAGGCTCAAGCAATCCTCTCACCTCAGCCCCCTGAGTAGCTGGGACTACAGGCATGCACCACCACACTTGGCTATATATATATATATATATTTTTTTTTTTTTTTTTTGAGATGGTTTGCTTTTGTTGCCCAGACTGGAGTGCAGTGGCACGATCTCGGCTCACTGCAACCTCTGCCTCCTGGGTTCAAGCGATTCTCCTGCCTCAGCCTCCTGAGTAACTGGGATTACAGGCATGCACCACCACACCTGGCTAACTTTTGTAATTTTAGTAGAAACAAGGTTTCTCCATATTGGTCAGGCTGGTCAGCAGCTTCCGACCTCAGGTGATCTTCCTGCCTTGGCCTCCCAAAGTGCTGGGATTACAAGCGTGAGCCACCGTGCCCAGTCCTAATTTTTTGTATCTTTAGTAGAGACAGGGTTTCCGCATGTTGGCCAGGCTGATCTCAAACTCCTGACCTCATGATCAGCCTGCCTCGACCTCCCAAAGTGCTGGGATTACAGGTGTGAGCCACCACACCTAGCCCATACTCATCCTTAAATACGTACAGTGGTTGACAGTCCCCAAGGCTCTTTCTCTGACCCTCTCCTTTGATCCTGTCAGTTGAGCGGCATCATTCCTACTTCACAGATAAGGAAACTGAGGCTCCAAGAATTTGATTTCTGACTGTGGAACGTTAGTCTGTAAGAATGTAATGGAGAGGCAGCAAAACTCTGGAACCAGGCTGCCTTGGTTCAAATTCCAGCTCTGACACTTACTAGCTGTGTGACCTTGGAGAAATTACTTACTATCTCTGTGTCTGCATTCGCTATTCTAATGATAGTGCCTACCTCATGGGGTTGTTATGAGGATTAAATTATTTAATATTTTGTTGTTGTTGTTTTTGAGACGGAGTTTTGCTCTTGTTACCCAGACTGGAGTGCAATGGCACGATCTCGGCTCACCGCAACCTCCGCCTTCTGGGTTCAAGCAATTCTCCTGCCTCAGCCTCCCGAGTAGCTGGGACTACAGGCGCGCACCACCATGCCCAGCTAATTTTTGTATTTTTAGTAGAGATGGAGTTTCACCTTGTTGACCAGGATGGTCTTGATCTCTTGACCTCGTGATCCACCCGCCTCGGCCTCCCAAAGTGCTGGGATTATAGGCGTGAGCCACCGCGCCCGGCCAATTATTTAATATTTTTAAAAATAGATATGAAATTGGCTGAAATATAATAAACACTATGTGATGAGTGTTTATTATAGAAACATAAAATAAACCCCACGAGAGCAGGAACCTTATTAGTGTTGTCCACCACTAAATTCCCAAAGTAGACACTTAGTAGACACTCAAGTGAAATATTTGCTGAATGAATAAATGAACAAAGTGGAATTAGAACTCAGCTGGGTGAGGTGGCTCACACCTGCAATCCCAGGCCTTTGGGAGTCCAGGGTGGGTGGATCACCTGAGGTGGGGAGTTTGAGACCAGCCTGGCCAACACTGGTGAAACCCTGTCTCTACTAAAAATACAAAAATTAGCCAGGGATACTGGCGTACACCTGTAATCCCAGCTACTCAGGAGGCTGAGGCACAAGAATCGCTTGCACCCGGGAGGCAGAGGTTGCAGCAAGCCGAGATCGCACCATTGCACTTGAGCCACCCGGGCGACAGGCTGAGACTCTGTCTCAAAAAACAAAACACAACAAAACAAACAAACAAAAAACCCAGGCTTCAAGGCTTCTGGTTGAGTACTCCCTCTGCTAAACCACATGGCTGGAAAGTTAGGGGTGAGGGAGTGTCATGATGGCAACTGAGGTGTCGCATAAGGGCCACAAGGCAGCGTAGTGCAGGCAAAGAGTTTTACCTGGAAAGCAGGAGTCCTGGTTCTAGTCTAGGCGCTGAACAACCTTGGACAAGTTCCTTTTCTTCTCTGAGCCTCAGTTTCCCTAGGCCACACAGGGGTACTCACTCTTCTTAGAGTAGAGAGGTCGTCTGATAGTGTAATGTAGACAAATGTGTTTAAAATAAAACTTGTTTTAAGGTCAAACTTGGGGTCAGGAGTTACTGATCAACCATGGGGTTTCCCTCTGTTTGAAGTTTCCAAATCAGCAGTATTCACAGCTAATGAAAATAAGGTGGCAGACCTAAGAGACAGTGAGCAAACGAGCTTCTCTTCATGCCAGAGGCTCTCAGGAGCTAGAAGAGGACCCCTGATCCTAGGAGAATGGATTTGGGCGTGAGCTGAAGCTACCAAAGTGCCTGCTCCCCAGGCTGGCCCAAAGGAAAGGAAGAGGCAGCCGCTAGCAGAGCCCTGCCTGAGTCCTCTCCGCCTTCTTCCCCCACCTCCCTCCCCTGGTGTGGGCGCCTTCTCTGTCTTGCCCTTCCACACTGCTGCACAGCTGTCCTCATGTTTGTTGAATGCCACAAGTTTCACCTTGTACAGCCAGCCAGGGACTGGGGAAGGTTATAGGGCTTCATGGCTAGGGGGACATATGGGTCACTCCCCCATTCGCAGAGAGCACCCCATCTCTAACTCCTTCGCACAGCTTGTCGGGTCCCCACTGAACCTATGTCCCTCTCTCTGCCTCCCCCCAGCCCTCCTCACCTAGCTGGGTCAGCTCATACTGCTTCACTTTCTTACTGAGCCAGACGGGCCCCACATCCCAAGCCTGTTCTCCATGGGCCCCTGGCAGGCGATCACCATTGGCCTCCTCCGCCCCCACCTCCTGCCAATATAGTTTGTAGCCAGAGATCTGGGTGGGGTGAGGGGGTGGCTGCCATGACACGACCAGGGACTTCATCCTTGCCTTCACCTTCAACTCTGCAGGGGCAAAAGGAACTGGGGGCAGAGTGTCAGGACAGGAAAATTAAGGAACAGAACAGGGAATGAGGAGGCCGGGGATGGGAGACAAGGAAGAGGCGTGAGGGAGGCAGGAAGAGGCATTCAGGGAGGGCCTCGCCAGCATTCTCCCGAGGCATCACCACTCAGCCACCGCCCTAAGTGCCAGGCCTGGGCTCAGTCTAGAGGTGAACTCTCTATTCTACAAGCCAGAGTGCAGGGAATGCAGTGGGTGCTGCTGGGCATTTGCAAAGGAGTCAGCAAGGAGCACCTCTGGAGCAGGCTGATAGCACCTGGCACAGAATCAGCCTCTGTTAAGTCTCCTGGAGGATTAAATGCCAGGGGCAGTGCAGGGGGGTGGTTGCTGAGGCCAGGAAGGAGGGACGCCACCATTAGAGTAGGGAGACCCCCTTGAGAGTGGGGAGCCATGTGTCAAACACTGTCTTATGTACTTTGTATATGTACTATCACTTCATTCTCACATCCCTCTAAAATAGTGAAGATACTACAAACTTCACTTTATGGATAAGAAAACTGAAGCTCAGAGAGTTCAGTAATTTGCCCAGTGCCACAGAGAGAGCACGTAGCCCGGTTTGGTCAGCATTTAATCACCCTTCTATTGGGTCTTTCAGCAAAAGAACCTCCTCCTCCTCCTCCTCCTCCTCCTCCAATCACCCTTCTATTGGGTCTTTCAACAAAAGAACCTCCTCCTCCTCCTCCTCCTCCTCCTCCTCCAATCACCCTTCTATTGGGTCTTTCAACAAAAGAACCTCCTCCTCCTCCCCCTCCTCCTCCTCCTCCTCCTCCTCCTCCTCCTCCAATCACCCTTCTATTGGGTCTTTCAACAAAAGAACCTCCTCCTCCTCCTCCTCCTCCTCCTCCTCCTCCTCCTTCTCCTCCTCCCTCCCCCTCCCCCTCCCCCCCCTCCTCCTCCTCCTCCTCCTCCTCCTCCTCCTCCTCGCAGCTACTATTCAATGAGTAAGTAGTATATGTACTAAGCACTTTAGTTACAACACATTATTCAAACTCATGCCACTCCCAGGCCGTAAATGTAGCCACAGAATGGTTTGTCCAAGGTCACACAGCAAACAGAAGGGACATCAGAGCCCAGCCCTTCACCTCTGCACTCGTTCACCCATCAAGCAGAGGCAGCCATGGAAGCTCTCTGATGGAGGGAGGGCGGGCAGGGTGCTGGGTCCCAAGGTCACACGCACACTGTCCTGTCTCTCCTCCGACCCCGTACCGTGGCTCTGGTTGTACATACTGGGCATCCTGTGCTGCAGCCACTGGGAGGCGGCCCCAAAGCCGGCCGAGGTAGCAGCTGAAATCCGTACTCGATACACCTTGTTTGGCTGAAGTGAGTTCAGCGTAAGCTGTGTCTCATTTCCTGGCACCTCGGTGGAGAAAATCTGATCTGTAGGGAGAGAAAAGGTGGGCTGCTGGGTAGCCACCTGAGGACCAGGATCCTAAACTCCCCTACGTCGATCTTCCACCTCCTGTCCTGGTTCCTTGTGCCTATGAGAGCCTGAAGCATTCTCAGCACTGACCCCCTCAGAGCCTGGGCAGACTCTATGGCTCCAGGGATGATGCTTGAGCCTCCAGCTTTGGCTGACGCAGGCCATCAGTCTGGGCTTGGCTGCAGGGAGAATGATGGCAGGCTTTCCCCTCTTCCCCCGGAGCTGGCAATGACCACCCCCTGCCAACATACACACACACAGGATGCGGATACAAGGGGCTGGACATGAAGACCAGGAAGCACTGCCTGGCTTCCAGATCCCTGACGGCCACCATGGTCCTCATCCTTCCCTCCTGCCTGACCCTTTCCCTGGTTCCTCAGCCACTTTCATTCTCCTTTTTATCTTTTTCTTTCTTTCTGAGACAGTTTTGCTCTGTCACCCAGATGGGAGTACAATGGGACAATCACAGCTCCCTGCAGCTTGAATTCCTGGGCTCAAGTGATCCTCCCACCTCAGTACCCCCCCCTCAAGTAACTGGGACCACAGGTGCATGCCACCACACCCTGCTAAGTTTTAATTTTTTTTCTTGTAGATATGAGGGTCTCACTTTATTGCAAAGGCTGGCCTCAAACCCCTGTATTTAAGCAATTCTCCTGCCTTGATGTCCCAAAGTGCTGAAATTACAGGCATCAGCCACCGGGCCCAGCCTTTATCCCTTTCATTTTGTCTCCCCCACATTACCTATATCTGCCCTTACACACCCTCCACTATGCCAATCTTCCCACTCCCACAAGCATACCTTCTACCTCCCAACCCCACATCTGCTTTTTGAGCTGGAAGGGACTCCAGAGATAACCTAGGTTACTGGCTTCATTTCCCAGATAAGGAAACTGAGGCAGGGACTCAGTAGGATTACACACTGCAGAGGGGGTGGGGTGAGAGGCCAGGCCTCCCTCTGCCTTGACCTAGTCCCCTCTGTCTTCCCTTTTCATTCCTGCCCACACCCCTCTTTTTGAGGCTCACCCTTCCCCAACCCGTACTCTGCTTCCTTACCTCTGACTCCCTACCCTGCTCAGGTCTCCAGCAGCCCTGACTACTCTTCCCACCGATCATTCTTAGCAGGGCCTGGCTCCCGCCCCCGCACTCACCTTCCTTTCCCAAACCATATTCTATCTTGTACTTCACCACCTGCCCATTGCTCAGGCTTGGGGGCAGGGGCAGCCACGCCACCATGATGTCCGAGGGGTTGGGGCTGGACAGGGAGAGCTGGGGTGCTGCACTGGGAACTGAGACAGAATAACATCAGCGTGAGCTCTGCTCCACCGACATGGAAGGTGAGGCTCGGGAGCAGTCAGAGACTTGCCTGGGTCACACAGCAAGTCAGAAGTAGGCCAGGACCAGGATCTGGGGGAGGAAAGGGGGCTTCTCAGGGGAGCCCCCAAGCTGAACGGTGAGGGGACGTCTTTCCCACCCTGAAGCTGGAAAAAGGCTTGGAGCACAATCTTGCATGTCTAACAGGTTAATGTCGCTGGCCCCTACCCCAGCTGGGTGGCACATACATGTCAGGGAGAATAACCGCATGACACACAGAATCATCACAAGACCTGGGCTCAAGTCGCAGCTGAACTACTGACCTTGAGCAAGTCACTCTCATTTTCTGGGCCTCAGTTTTCCCAACTGTAAACTGAGGAGAAGAACCCCTGCCCACCCTCTTACAGGGCACAAAAGATGATGTGAGCAGGTAAAAATGCCTTTACATTAGTAAAGAGAAGGCGAGCTCCCATCCCCAGGGAATTCTCTTTCCCACAAGCTGCCCATTGCTGGTTCAGAGGCCCTACCATCATCCAGTGTGTGCACCAGTGCTGGGGTGGAGGTGCGGCTGGCTCCCAGCTGGGAGTAGGCCACCACGTAGAACTCATAATCTGTGTTGGGTTCCAGGTCCCGAACCTGTAGTTCCGTGGTGTCGTTGTTCACTGCAAACTGGTATTCCACATTGTGCATGCCTGGCGACACAGGGGACAAGGGGACTGTCATAGTGCCACCCCCAGTGCCAGCCAGCTGGAGTCTGTCTAGAAATCCTTCATATTGCCCCGGTGTCTGTTTATAGCTAAATCATCCCAGATAATCTGAGCTGGAGTGTATAAACTCCCTCAGCTTCCTGTCTCACTCTGTGAATCCCTCCACTGGTTAGGGGTGCTTTCTGGAAATGACCCCCCCCTTCCCGCAACCGCAGTTAGTTAACTGGGGTGGGAGGTGGCTCCAGGAAGGTCCTCTCCCTCCTCTCTCATAACAAATGTGGCTGAGGGAAGCAGCAGCCCTTCCAGTACCAGTTGGAAACCATATATGGTAGGTAATCCATACCTATGTGGGTCTCTCCTACGGGCTCCTATCCCAGCCCATCCTCCCTGCAGAAGTACCCATCAGGCAGCCTTTCAGCATCCGACCTGAACCCCTCCCCGATGAGCCCCGCCTGCGCCTGAGCTGGTGCATCCCGCCCCCTGCCAACTTACCCCGAGCCTTCTGATAGTGGAGAGAGAAGCCGATGATCTGCTCGCTGTACAGCTCGGGCCGCTCCCAGGCCACCAACACAGCGGAGCTGCTCAGTGGCGTAGCTGTGACCCGCGTGGGGGCGCTGGGCAGCCCCTCGCGCACCACCACGACCAGCGACGCGGCGGCGCACGCCGTTCCCGCGCTGTTCTCAGCCACGCACTGGTAGTAGCCGGCGTCCTGCAGGCCGATCTGTGTGATGACCAGGCTGCCGCCGCCGCCCTGGACCTTGACGCGCCCCTTGGGCCGCAGCGGCGCCCCGTCGTGCAGCCAGCGTAGCGCAGGCCGCGGATCCCCCGACGCGCGGCACACGAAGCGCGCTGTGCTCGCCCGCGTCCGCGACAGCCCCTCGGGCGCCTGCAAGATGGCGGGAGCCGCTGGGGGCACGAGGAGCGACGCTGAGAGCGGGCTCCCGCCAAGGGCTCTGCTCCTCCCCGCCCGGCCCCCACCGCCCTCCCCCGCTCCCCTTTCAATCACTCTAACCTCTCCCGGATTCACCCTCCCCAAACTACGCACGCTAAGCGCAGACCTACCCCTTCTTCCCCCCATTTACCCCAGCCCCGCAACCACCATTCTCTTTCTCCCCCAAAACTGTCCCCAGGCCTTCTCAGCCTCCCCTAAATACCGCTCCTCCCGGATCTAACCCCACCCTTAATTTACCCATCTCCTTCCTCCTGCCCTCCGAGGTCTCCCGCAGCTACCAGATCTACCATGCCCCCCAGTTTTCTTAGTGCCACCCAGATCACGATCTCTCCAATAACCCCAGTCCCACTTCCCCCACAATCACCTGCGCCAGGCCCTAATCATCCCTCTTCCTCCATCCCTGCTCAACTCTTCCCACTGCACCTTCCAGTTGCCTGGTCCCCATCCCTCGCCCCAACCCCGCCTCACTAGGGACTCCTCCCACGGAGTTCATCCTCCGGGAGTGAGCCTGAGTCCCCCCAGCACACCCACCCGTCCACCGCCCCCTGCCCCATTCACTCCGGCCCCAGCTAACCCGCTCCCTCCACCCTTCGGCCCGCCTCACCCAGCACGCGGAGCTCGGCGGAGGCAGTGGCGAAGTCGCGCGTGAGGGGCTTGTTAGCTCGGCAGAGGTAGATGCCAGAGTGCCGGGGCTGCGCGTGGGCAATTAGTAGGTTGGTGCGGCCCAGGACCACGACATCCGCGGAGATGGGCTTTCCGTCTGGGGAAGGAGAGGGAGACGCGCTGGAGGGGATGCCAGGGACTGTCCCTCCATCCGATCTTCGGGCCTCAGGAACACTTTGCCCCGGGTAAAGTGGGCACAACCGTCCCTGGTCCGAATCTCATTTCTTCCCCTTGCTAGTCCCGGACTCTCTGAACCCTGCTGTCTCCATCTGTAAGGGGAGCTAGCCCTTGCCTGGAAGGGTTTCCATGAGTGTGGAAAGAATGTGAGAACCCCTGGCACAGTGCAGGAATATATTAATAATAGGTGCTCAGTATAGTTTTTATTACTAAATTCATTTCTCTCAAGAAGGACATTTTGTTATTTTTTTTAATGCAATCCTACAGATAGGAATGGAGATCAGGAGTCTACAATTTTAACAAGTCCCCTAGGCGACCCTGATGCACGGTCAGGAATTAAGAAATATTGACATTAGAACTTCTAGGTGACATCACGTTTATCCCAGTAATACCAGGATCCTGCTGGCCCCCTAAGGAGGCAAGTGTCACAGGTCTAATGAGGCAGAGCAGGTGAGATAGGTGCAAAAATACCAGTGCTGTTCTATTTCGTCAGCTCAGTGATGGGTACATATTAATAGCTATTCATTTTCTTTAAACTATATCTATCCATGATATATGATATATAAACTTACTTTTAAACAATATGTATAGGGTAATAGAATGAGTTGGGGAAAGGGGTAAAGAAAACTGGATTTAAAACTTACTTCTGCCAAGTCACTTTTTGACAACAATTGGAAACAAGAATAACCCTTGCTTTCTTACTACAGGATTGTAGGAAGCGGGGTACCAGAAAGAGAACAGACTCAGAAGCTTGGTCCTGGCTCTTCCACCTGCCTCTCTGAGCCTCAGTTTCCTCATCTGCCCACTAGGAATAGTAGTTCTGGCCCCTACTCTCCCCAAAGGGCTCTTGGAGGCTCTGACAGGAGAGCAGGTGTGAAAGTGCTCAGGAGTCTGCTCATGACGTTTGGCCCAGCGCTGGTGTTACCCTGCTGGCATCTCCAGTCACTCAGTCACTCAGTGGCACTTGTAGCCTGATACTGTCAGACCTCTCTTCACAGATGTATGTTTTCTCCCATTCACAAGACAATGAGTTCAGAGGGCAGGGTCCCCCCTCTCTGTATTTTGTTCACTGTGCCCAGCATGATGCCCGGCACACAAAGGCAACAGCATGCTGGGGTGGACCCAGAGCTGGCCTTGTAGTTATGCGGCCCGGCAGAGGGGTCTGTTTCTGCCCTACTGGCTGGCTGTGCGGCACCTTCCCAGCTCTCAAGGACTCACTGGTAACTCTGTTGTGAGCAGCAGAAATATGTAAGATGGAGAGCCTAGTCCAGCGCCTGCCCTCAGGAGGGCTGCAATAACCGTTCTGTAAGTGGCAGCCCGGAGGTGCTTTTGTAAAGTACGTGCTACACAGAGTGATGACAAACCCTGTCCAGGTTCCCAGTGCAACTTCCGGCCCTGTACACCACAGCTGGCCCTGGGAAAGGCGTTCCTGCCATACCAGAAGGTTGGTGACCACTGACGGGTCACCCATAAATCCCCCTGACTTAGGGGCATATGAGATGCCACATCCCTCCCTTCCCATGCCCTCCACCTTCCACTCCCTCCACTCACCTTTTCGGACCCAGGACACAAGAGGGGTGGGGTCCCCTGAGGCCACACATTCCATCACCACAATCTGGCCAGACACCACTGTGGTGTTCTCTGGGGCTGCCACGATGACCACGCCCTGCCCCGTGGTGGATGCCAGGGACCCTGGAGAAAAGACAGACCAGCAGGCAGCCTTACCAGTAGGCATTTGCCATGCAATACCTCGCCTGAGGCTCACAATAACCTGGTGAGGTGGTACGGGGGGCAGCAGCAATGGTTCCATCTGTCAGATGGGGGAAGGTAGCTATAAAATTCAGCAGGGCTGGGACTGGACCTCTAACCTCTTTCTTCTGGAGCCAGAGAATTGCCTGAGCTTCAGATCAGCACCAGAGAAATGATTAGACAGACCCACGCCTACCTCCATTCTTCCCTCCCAAATGCAGCCCACCCTCTAGGCAGAGGACTGTCACAGGGTCAGAGGCAAAGCACCAGACTTGGAGTCAACCAACAGTCATGGTTTCTAGTTCCAACACGGCCATTAATGCACTGGGTGACCTTAGGCAAATCCCTTCTCCAGAGGTCCTTGGATTCACCAGTGGAAAAGGCAGACACAGTGGGCTTGAGTTTCTGCCTGCGTGGCAGCTCCCTAAACCCTGATTTTCTGCCAAGTTCTCCATGTGACCCTGGCCCCCTGGGTGGAGTGGTGAATATCTGGATTGTCCAGCAGGTGGAGGCAGAGACCCCCAGAACAGGAGGGAGAGGCCACCCGACTGGGAGCAGCCCACCAGCTAAGCCCAGGAGGAACAGGGTGGGGAAGAGTGGGAATGGGAGTGTAGGGAGGGGAGTGGGAGGTGGGAGGGATGCCTGGCAAAGGGAAGAAGGGAGGGCCCTGGGGGAGGTCTGAAGTGAGATCTGTTGAGCACCTGCTAGGTGCTAGGCACTTTCCATTCTCATCTCAAGGACTCTCCGAGCCTCTCTGAGCTGGACATTTGATAAGGGTCACACAGATGGTGTGCAGAGAAGCCAGGATTCAAACCAGGTTTTTCCAACCCCAAAACGTGTGCCCTTCCTACTCTATTACACTGGGGCAAGATCCTTTCAAAGAAACAGAGTAAAGAACAAGAGCGCTAGGCCACAGGGAGCCAGATTTGCAGGACACACAAAGCAAAGAGGGACGAATCCCCCAGTGCCTGAACCCCACAGTGATTACAGAAGGGTGGGAGAGAAAGGGGCAAGGACCAGGGTTTCCCTCAGATGCCCCGCCTCCCCACCTCTGTCCCCAGCCTTCAATGCTCCATCCCCCCGAGGGCACACAGGCTCTGTATGAAGAGAAGAGCCTGCACCGGAGTCCGGGGTCTTGTGTTCCAGCCCAGTTCTCCTCCACTTCGCTGGGTGGCAGTGCCCTCTCTGGGCTTCATCACCTCACTTGTCAATGGGACTAACTAACACCCATCACCTACTTGAAGGCAAGGCCTGGACCTCTTGAGGTCCCTCCCAGCTCTGAAGTGGCTGGCTCCAGAAACCCCCAGGTTTGCCCACCCGGCCAGCTTCCTTACCTCTGCGGGCCACACTGAGTAAGGCGTCCTGGCTGAAGCGCTGGCCAGCTGAGTTGGTGGCCACACAGCGGTAGGAGCCTGCATCACCCTCCTGAACATCCAGGATCTGAAGGACGCCATTGGGAAGCATGATGAGCCTTGGGAAGAGGAGAGTGGGCAACTGTGAGGTGGGCAGAGGGTCCATAGGGAGGGTGGCTCATGGTAAAAGAAATGCGAATTGAAACTCGAAGATACCATTTTCACCTGTTAGATTGGTGAAAAGCAGAAGGCTTAACAACACTCCATGTGGGCCAGGTGCAGTGGCTCACACCTGTAATCCCAGCACTTTGGGAGGCTGAGGTGGGTGGATCACGAGGTCAGGAGTTTGAGACCAGCCTGGCCAACATGGTGAAACCCCGTCTCTACTAAAAATACTAAAATTTGCTTGGCATGGTGGCACATGCCTGTAGTTTCAGCTACTCTGGAGGCGGAGGCAGGAGAATCACTTGAACCCGGGAGGCAGAGGTTGCAGTGAATCGAGACAGCGCCATTGCACACCAGCCTGGGAAACAGAGCGAGACTCCATCTCAAAAAAAAAAAAAGAAAAAGAAAAAGAACACTCCATGTGATGAGGGAATCGGGGGAGGCACCCTGCCTATACACCATCTGTCCAGGGCATGTCGGTGATATCTCAACATCAAAACTTGTAGGGCTCTATCCCACAGATACTCTCAGATGTGTGCACGAGAGCACATGTCAAACTATACTCACTCCGGCACTGTCTGGAAGAGCAAACGGCTGGAGACGACCCAAGTGTCCATCCGCAGGGTGGGAACGGGCTGAGTTGGTGTGGGTACATTCGCACAGTGGAATGCTAGGCAGCTGCTAAAAAGGAGGCAGCTCCGTGTGTGCTGGTAGAGGGCCATCTGCAAATGTGTTCTAGTACAAAACAGTGTGTGTGAGGGCATGGAGGCTTCTGTGCTTGCGTATACACTGAACGTTCCTGGTAGTGGAGGTTGTCTCTGGGAAGGGGACCTGGGATCCAGGGGACTGAGGGTGGAAAGGACTGACTTTTCATTATATATCTTTCTATACAGTTTGAATTTTTTTTTTTTTTTTTTTTTTTGAGACAGAGTTTTGTTCTTGTTGCCCAGGCTGGAGTGCGGTGGCAGGATCTCGGCTCACCGCAACCTCTGCCTCCCAGATTCAAACGATTCTCCTGCCTCAGCCTTGCATACCTGGGATTACAGGGGCATGCCAACACACCCAGCTAATTTTGTATTTTTAGTAGAGACGGGGTTTCTCCATGTTGGTCAGGGTGGTCTCTAACTCCTGATTTCAAGTAATCTGCCCACCTCAGCCTCCCAAAGTGCTAGGATTACAGGCGTGAGCCACTGCACCCATCATAGTTCGAATTTTTTTTTACCCCTTGTCCATATTACCTTCTCCCTCCCTTGATAAAATACTATTCACACTATCTCATGTGTGAATATTTATTTGCACTATCTCATGTGACCCTCAAAACAAGCCCAAGACATAGAGGGGGTCACAACCTCCATCTTACTGGAGAAAAATAGGCTCAGAGGGAGAAGGGTGTTTTTCTCGGGTCTCACAGATGGAGCAGAGTGAAAACTCGAACCTGAGTCTTTTGGTGCCAAATGTCACATTCATCCCACCTGCCTGTCTCAGCGGCCATTGGATGGCTGGGAATGCCCCTGGAGGGGACGCAGTCTGCAAGCAGACCCAGTCAACACGTATGTTACTTAGAAGGGGTGTGATGGATGAGGGTGTTTCCCGTCTTCTGGGTTACAGAGGTAGAAAGGTCCAGAGACCTCCCTTAAGAAACGATGTAATCTGGGATAGGGAGGTCTCCATGAGGGTTGGGATGGTGGGGGACCAGAGTGGGCTTTGATCTAAGCAGGGGGTGAGTGGGTCCTTTAGAATCCTCCAACTGGGATCTCTGCAGGGTCAGCTCTGGGTTGAGAGTCCTAGTTTCTCAACAGAGCAAACAGTGCTGGCCTCTGGGATGTCGGCTGGGCCAGGGTCAGAGAGGGAAGGGGGCAGTTGTGTGCCTGGTGGGGATCCCTTAGCTCACGGAGAAGAGGGGTGTGAAAAAAATCTAAACATGGGAGAAGAGAAGTAGCTCAAAGGCTGGGGGGAAGAAGAACATTCTAAACAGAGGCCTACAAACCTTCTGTGTCCCAGAGACTTACAGGATTTAGAGAAAAAAACATAAACCTGCCTCACTCTTTCCTGCACTGCACAGGTAAACCCACCTCTGCCCCAGCCTCTCACCCCCAGTTCCAATAGCTGTCCACCTAAGCGCTGAGGCAGAGTGAAAGGGACAGGAGGCCAAGTGTGGCTGGAGGGAAACCCTGGGCCAGGACTCAGCCTGCTGCCAGAGAAGAACTGATGGGAAAGGACACACTGGGGAAGGACAAGCAGGACCCACCTAAGAAACAGGCCCCACCCCATCCATCTGATGTGCTCTGCCTCCAAGACCCTTCTTTCTCCTCTTTTCCTCCCTTGGTCTAGAGAGCTGACTATGCTGCTGGGAACTGCCTCCATTTCCTAACCCGCGTTTCTAGGTCTTCCCAGGGAAAACGTGCCCTGAGTACTGAAGAGCTAGTCTCTCCTTTGAAAAAATAACATTTCCTTAATTATGTGTGTTGAATGAATGAACAAATGAATAAATGAATAATTCCTTTCCCCAGATATGGTGTAGTGCTGCAGCCGGTAGAGGCAAGGCGGAACCCCTTTCAGTGTTCATTTAAAATCTTTTCTGGCCAGGCGCTTTGCGAGGCATAAGCAGGCAGATTGCTTGAGCCCAGGAGTTGGAGACCAGCCTGGGCAACACGGGCAAAACCCAGTCTCTACAAAAAATACAAAAATTTGCCAGGCATGGTGGTGCACACCTGTAGTTCCAGCTATATAGGAGGCTGAAGTGGGAAGGTCACTTAAGCCCAGGAGGTAGAGGCTGCAGTGAGCAGTGATTGTGCCACTGCACTCCAACCTGGGTGGCAGAGTGAGACCCTGACTCAAAAAAAATCTTTCGCTTTGCTAAAATGTGTTTTTAGAAGCTCTGTCCTTGGAAAGATATTCAAGATATATTAGTGGGGGAAAAAGTAAAAAAAAAAAAAACAAAAAAAAACAGTGTTTATGAAAAAAATTCTATTTTTAGAAAAGAGACAAAAGTTATGTTAGGATGGATAGACACAGAACAAGTCAAAGCTACAAAGCCTGTGTGGTTTATGGAGGTTTTCTGTAGGAGTGGGATTACCAGGGACTCTTATTTATTGTGCTTTTTAAGTTTTTTTTTTGAGAGTCTTGCTCTGTCGTCAGGCTGGAGTGCAGTGGCGCAATCTCACGCAATCTCAGCTCACTGCTACCTCCATTTCCCGGGTTCAAGTGATTGCCCTGCCTCACCCTCCCAAGTAGCTGGGACTACAGGTGTGCGCCACCACACCCAGCTAATTTTTGTATTTTTAGTAAAGATGGGATTTCACCATGTTGGCCAGGATGGTCTTGCTGGGATTACAGGCGTGAGTGACCTCGCCTGGCCTTAAGTATCTTTTTTCTTTTTTTTTTCAATAAATATATAGCAGGAAATACAAAATGTGCACAATGTGAGTTGCTAATAGTCTGTTCCCATGTACACTCTGTTTTGTAACTTGGGCTCTAACACGGAAGCACTGTGACATGGTGGAAAGAACTGGTTTCAGTGTGTGATTTTAGGGACGTTCCATACCTGAGCCACAAATCTCATCTGAAAAGTGTGTTAGGTAATTCCTGTCCTGCCTGCTTCACAACCCTGACCCTCTTAATGTGTTCTGAGCTCACATCAGATAATAGACGGAAACATATTTATGGATTGCAAGGTCTAAGCACATGTTTACAACGGTGTAACCCATATATGTATTTCAAAAGACTGCAAGGAAGCGCTCAAATTGGTAATAGCTGTATTCAGTCAGTGACTTTTTACCCCTTTCTGTAAAGTTGGTATACTTTACCATTTTAAAAGAAATTCGAATTTCAAATAAAATAAAAGCTACTCGTAGAATGAAAAACAATCTCGCCGGGCGCGGTGGCTCACGCCTGTAATCCCAGCGCTTTGGGAGGCTGAGGTGGGTGGATCACGAGGTCAAGAGATCGAGACCATCCTGGTCAACATGGTAAAACCCCGTCTCTACTAAAAATACAAAAATTAGCTGGGCGTGGTGGCACGTGCCTGCAATCCCAGCTACTCAGGAGGATGAGGCAGGAGAATTGCCTGAACCCAGGAGGAAGAGGTTGCAGTGAGCTGAGATCGCGCCATTGCACTCCAGCCTGGGTAACAAGTGCGAAACTCTGTCTCAAAAAAAAAAAAAAAAAAAGAGATCGAGACCATCCTGGTCAACAAGGCGAAACCCCGTCTCTACTAAAAATACAAAAATTAGCTGGGCATGGTCGCGCGCGCCTGTAGTCCCAGCTATTCGGGAGGCTGAGGCAGAAGAATTGCTTGAACCTAGGAGGTGGAGGTTGCGGTGAGCCGAGATCAAGCCATTGCATTCCAGCCTGGGTAACAAGAGTGAAACTCCGTCTCAAAAAAAGAAAAGAAAAACAATCTCAATTCAAAAGGAAGGGATTATTCTTTCTCCAACCTCAAACCCAAGTCTGCTGCCTCTCCCCACAAAAGGCCACTTGGGCCCTGGATTAATGAACACAGAAGAAATGATGCAGCTGCTCTGGATTTCCCAAGGGCCACAGAGCCCCCTCCCTAAGCCATTGAGGTCTACCCAGGGCAAGGGGGATACTGGCTGGGAGTCACATGAGATTGACGAAATGGTAGCCACTGGGAGACGGTAGGGCAGAAGCCCAGGTTATTTAAGTCCCTTAGTTCCATGTTTTTTAAAATAGGAGTGGGCCAGATGCGGTGGTTCATGTCTGTAATCCCAGCACTTTGGGAGGCCGAGGTGGGTGGATCACCTGATGTCAAGAGTTGAAGACCAGCCTGGCCAACATGGCAAAACTCTGTCTCTACTAAAAATACAAACATTAGCCGGGCGTGGTGGTGGATGCCTGTAATCCCAGCTACTTGGGAGGCTGAGGCAGGAGAATGGCTTGAACCTGGGAGGCAGAGGTTGCAGTGAGCCGAGATGGAGCCATTGCACTCCAGCCTGGGAGACAAGAGTGAAACTCCATCTCAAGAAAAAAAAAAAAGTGAGTGAATGGTGACAACAAAATGATTTCAAAAGGATCCAGATTCATGGCTTTTTATCCTAGAAGCTATATGATTCATTTTTACGGCTATCTTCTATTTATGGCAAGTGTTGCTGGTTTTCCATTTTGTTGCAGTGAGATAATGTTCCCTTTTAGTATGTGTTAAAGTTACAAAAAAGTGAGTCGACATAAAGAAAATTATTAAGTGATTGTATAAATGGTATAAGTATGGTCACAGTTGTGAATGCCTGGGATTCGGGAAACATTGCTCTCATTGATTACTGGTTCCCATGAAAGAAAAATTATCCCCTAGATTATCCCCTATGATTAGAAATTAGTGTAAGTACCAGGGAATCACCTTGGGGTCTAGTCGTTACCATCACTTCCAAACTAAGCACACACACCCTGATGCAGTGTGTTTATTAGCTGCACATGTGCACGCACTACACCAAGGCATATGGTCTCCTTCAAACCACTGGGCTGGGTTTATGAATAGCATATTTGTGCATGCACTATATCTGGGCATGTGTGAAAATACATGGCTGGGGCATAATCAAGTTGCTGTTTTAGACATTTCTTTATTCCCCCCCACACAATGTGCCGGGACATGTGAGCCCAGCTTATTTATAGATGAGGATCACTTTTCAGAGGACTTGGGGGCAAACACTCCCAGAGTCCAGAAACTGGCAGCTCTGGCCTCCTGGGTTAGGTTTATGGCCTCATGGGATAACGCCTGAGATAGATGTTTCAGGAGGGAGGTCTGAAACCCACTGGTTTGCTGAGAAACTTTGGGGAATTAACTTCTTTGCTCCCAGCCACAGTTGGACTACAGATTTCTAAACTCAACTTTAATTTTTTAAAAAATTAAAGTTATAATGTGATACAAACTTCTTCAGACCTCGCAAGTTTCTCACCTAACCACCAGATGACACCGACCAGAGGCCTGTGTATCCCCCACACGGGGCACTGAAGTCTGGAGCTGAGCACTAAGCTGTGTGACCTGGGGCAAGCTATTTCTGCCTCTGGTCCTCCAATCCGTCATTTAACAATCCAGATAAAAATACCCACGATATTCCTATGTACAGACCCGGAAGGATGTTCATTGTGTGGTAAGTGAAAAAAAAAATTAAAGTTGCGATTTAATCCCCCTTTTGTTTTTGAAAAAGAAAAGATGATTCAACAAAAACCTAGTATGAACAATATAATTATTATTATTTTTTTTGAGATGGAGTCTTCCTCTGTCACCCAGGATGGAGTGGAATGGCACCATCTCGGCCCATTGCAATGTCTGCCTCCTAGGTTCTCCCCGCTCAGCCTCCCAAGTAGCAGTTCCCTGCCACCATGTCCGGCTAATTTTTGTATTTTTAGTAGAGACGGGGTTTCACCATGTTGTTCAGGCTGGCCTTGAACTCCTGACTTCAGGTGATCCATCTGCCTCAGCCCCCATAACATGCTGGGATTACAGACATGAGCCACTGCATCTGGCCTAAATTTTGTATTTTTTGAGAGATGACATTTTGCCATATTGCCCAGGTTGGTTTCTAACTCCTGAGCTCAAGCAATTTACCTGCCCTGGGCTCCCAAGGTGTTGGGAATACAGGCATGAGCCACTGTGCCCAGTCATATTCATAGGAATTTTTAAAATGAATCTGCTAGGAATATAAATTAAAAGTAAATAAGCCAGATGTGGTGGCTCACGCCTGTAATCCCAGCACTTTGGAAGGCCAAGGAGGGCAAATCATGAGGTCAGAAGTTCGAGACCAGCCTGAGCAACACGGTGAAACCCCATCTCTACTAAAAATACCAAAAAAATCAGCTGGGCATGGTGGCGTGCACCTGTAATCCCAGCTATTCAAGAGGCTGAGGCAGGAGGATTGCTCCACTCAGAAGGTGGAGGTTGCAGTGAGCCAAGATAGTGCCACTGCACTCCAGCCTGGGCGACAGAGCAAGACTCCGTCTCAAAACAACAAACAAAAAAGGAAATAGAGGAAAATGTGAAAATAAGAAATACCTTCCTTAAAGGATGATTGGAAGAATTAAGTGAGAAAATATACGTAAAAGCCTGAGCATAGTGCCTGGGCCAAGGTACGCTTCCATTACGTGGCTCATGTTGTGACTTTCAACATGGGGAGATTTTGCTGCCCTCTGCTACCCACCCCTCTGGGCGCCATCAGGAGTAGGCTCTCGCTTGGTTCTCACTTCTCCAGCTCATCTCTCTGGGTTCATGGAACTCCCAGAGGCACCCATTATCACACAGTGGTGAGAGGCCCCACATGTAGAAAGGCGCAGAACTTAAAACGTCAGTGTTAGAAAGGCTGGGTCAGCATTTCCCAGGGTTCACTCTCTAGAATGCTCATTCACGGGATGTTAAGGGGCTCCTGGGCAATTGAGCCTAGGAAGTGCTTGGTTAAACCGGTCAACAGGATCCTCAGTACAGCACTTCTCAGGGCCTTGCCAACTCCAGGAGGGTGATTTACAGGCAATTTCCTGTTCTGATTTGATCATAGGATACTTCATTCAAGAATTTAAAGGGACTAACGTTCTACAGAGACACACTTTGGGAAACCGCAATCTAAATCAACTTTCATTTGTTTCCCCCTTCATTTTACAGGTGGGGAGGAGAATAGGTTGGGTGAGAAGGGACTCTCCGAGGACCACTGGGGCTAACCCATCACCAGAGTCAACAAGATCGATCTCTCTTTTTTTTTTTTTTTGAGATGGGGTCTCAATGTGTCACCCAGGCTGGCTGGAATGCAGTGGCGCTATCACAGCTCATGGCAGCCTCTACCACCCGGGCTCAACTGATCTCTCTCAGCCTCCCAAGTAGCAGGGACCACAGGCGCCGCACTGCCACGCTGGGCTAATTTTTATATTTGATATAGAGACAGGGTCTCAATATTTTGCACAGGCTAGTCTTGAACTCCTGGGCTCAAGTGATCCTCCTGCTTCATCCTCCCAAAATGTTGGGATTACAGGCATGAGCCACCACACCCGGCCACGATCTCTTATGTATAGACCTCTCACCCTCTTCCTCCCTCACAACTGTCCTGTGGCTTTTCCACCCTGAAGTTTCTCCTACACCCCATCCTTACCTACACATGGGCAAATGTCAGAGGAGCTGGGACAACGCAACACAGGCGATGGAAGGTTGGTTCCAGGGGAAAAGGGGCAGTGTTTCAGAGCCTGAGGAACCCCACTTCCACCAGGATGGGAGAAGGATCTAGCTGGTAACTATGGCTCCTGAGATATACGGAGAGGACTGCAGGGTGGCTGGGAAAGGACTTTGGAGCCACATTTCCAAAGATAGGTAAAAATCTAGGGGGTGATGACTGAGTCGTGAGACCAACTCAGAGACCACAGATGCAAAGGAGCTTTGTGGTTTCTTGTCACGCTGCAGACACATCTACACCTACCCAGGAATCCACAAGAGGGACGGAGTCCTGGGTCTAGCCTCTGCTTCCCTTCCGCCCTGGAAACTCTTCCCTGGGATCGCTCTACTCATCCATTCATTGCCTTTACAGGGAAAGAGGAGAGTGAGATAGGAAAGACCTCTGCAACACACTTCTCAGAGGGCTGCGCCCCACTGGATGGAATTGAGAGGAAGGGAAGTGATGCTTCCAGAGCGCCAACTCTGGCGGAACCCTGAAGAGAGAAAACCTTCCTGGCAGCCTCGGGGAGCCCTCAACAAACAGCCAACATTCTGCCAGTGGCTCACGGCACGGCTTGGGATAAACCACAGCTCCTCTCTGGCCCTCAGTCTCCACAATAAAGCATGTGGCTGGATCAGATGCGCTGGGAAGGACTCTACTACCACCCCCACCCAGGCTCCACAGCTCAATGGGTGGCTTTCCTCCCAGGGAGAAAAACTTCTTGTCCAATTTCTCTTTGGGACCAGACCTGAGACAGGAGTCAGGCGGTGCTTGACTCTCAAGTCAGTTTAGGGAAATGCACCTCCCTTGACTCCAAGAATCTCAGCTCTGAGCACACCCTAGAGCCCTCACTGCCCTGTCTACTGGGACCCACTGCCCTACAGGGCACTCACCGAGGCTCTTGAGGTAATGTCACCTGGTTCTTCTCCCAAGTAATGATGGGAGCTGGCAGCCCTTCAATGTGGCACTTGAAGCGAGCTGTCCCATTCTCCTCCACCGTCTGAGATTCCGGGTGCAGAGAGAAGTCTGCGAGTCCTGGGGACAGTGAGTGAGACGCAGGCAGGGATGGGAGATGGGGGGGGCGGGGGAGACACAAGCGGGGATGGGAGAGGGGGAGAGGGAGACACAGGCAGGGATGGGAGTGGGGGAGAGGGAGACACAGGTGGGGATGGGGGCGGGAGACGGAGGCAAAGGCGGTGATTGGGGGGAGAGGGAGGCAAAGGCGGTGATTGGGGGGAGAGGGAGACACAGGCAGGGATGGGAAGCGGGGGAGAGGGAGACACAGGCAGGGACGGGAGGGGGAGAGGGAGACACAGGCGGGGATGGGAAGGGGGGAGAGGGAGACACAGGCAGGGACGGGAGGGGAGACACAGGTGGGGATGGGTGGAGGGAGACACAGGCGGGGATGGGGAGGAGAGGGAGACACAAGCGGGGATGGGAGAGGGGTGGGAGATGGAGACACAGGTGGGGATGGGGGGGAGAGGGAGACACAGGCAGGGATGGGAGAGGGACAGGAGAGGGAGGCACAGGCGGGGATGGGAGTGGGGAGAGGGAGACACAGGCAGGGATGGGAGGCGGGGGGGAGAGGGAGACACAGGCAGGGACAGGGGAGAGGGAGACACAGGTGGGGATGGGGGGGAGAGGGAGACACAAGCAGGGACGGGAGGGGGAGAGGGAGACACAGGCAGGGGTGGGAGAGGGGTGGGAGAGGGGTGGGAGAGGGGCAGGAGAGGGAGGCACAGGCAGGGACGGGAGAGGGCCGGGGGAGGGGCAGCAGAGGGAGGCAAAGGCAGGGACGGGAGGGGGGGAGAGGGAGGCACAGGCGGGACGGGAGACGGGGGTGGGGGAGAGGGAGACACAGGTGGGGACGGGAGAGGGGCAGGAGAGGGAGGCACAAGCGGGGATGGGAGAGGGGGCAGGAGAGGGAGGCACAAGCGGGGATGGGAGGGGGGCAGGAGAGGGAGACACAGGCGGGGATGGGAGAGGGGCGGGAGAGGGAGACACAGGCGGGGATGGGAGAGGGGCGGAAGAGGGAGACACAGGCAGGGATGGGAGAGGGGCGGGAGAGGGAGGCCACAGCAAGCACAAACAGTGAAACACAGCCGCACGGAGACACAGAAACACAGCCGCACGGAGACACAGAAACACAGCCATAGAAATACAAGGCAGAGCCAATTCAGACCGAGGGAGACACAATAAGAAGTGGTAATTAGTGGTCAGATGCTGCCGGCAGAATAAATCCCAAAGCCCCCCTGCCCAACATCACCATGATGGTCAAACCATACAGTAAGATGCACATTTCTTCTGGCCGGAAAGTGATTTCATGGTGATCTGTGTCTCCTGAGGGCCCCCTTAGGGGTAAGGCTGGAGCGTGGGGTATGACTCCACACGTTCCACCTGCCGTGCAGGCAGGAGCTCCCTTAGGAGGCAGCTTTGTGCCTCTAACACGAAGGGGGCACTCTGGCAGGCTCCCTGGAGGAGAGCACAAGTCCAGACTCTAGGATTCAGAGGGAAAGAAAAGAAGGAACAGGGGAGTGGAGAAGAAGTGGGAAGATTACAGAATACCAAAAAACGAAGACAGACGATACCAGGAAGAGGCCTATTGAGCAAGACGGGAGGCAGGGAAAGGAGGAGCGGGCTTAAGAGAGAGGCATTTGTGCAAATGACTAACTACAGATCCCACTTGCAAACCCCAGGTCTAGGTCTCAGCCTCAGCCCCCAGCGCAAGCACTTACTGGCGAGCTTGACGACAGTAGCCTGGCTGGCCAGCACTCCAAGAGGGCCGTGGACGAAGCACGAATAGCTGCCTTCGATGACCCCCACAGCCTTGGGGACTGCCTCATCACTGCCATTGGGTGCTAGTGGCTGGGAGAGCCACAGGGAACCATTGGGGAGCTGGCGTAGGTGATCGTGCTCCAGGAGGGTGTCCCCATCCTTGATCCAGATCACCCTGGAGGGGTGTCCGGCAGCAGCAGCAGCCAGGCTACAGTTCAGCACCGTAGCCTGCTCTGGGCCCAGGATCACTTGCAGTGGCCCCACTCCACAGCTCAGCTCCACAGTCGTCTCCTGGGGCAACAGCAGCTCCCCTGCACAGAGGAGCACAGGGCCATCAGTGTGTGTCCCCCACCTCTCACAGCCTCTGCTCCTGAGTCACCCACCCAGGGGCTGGGGCAAATCAAGGAGAAAGACCTGTGTCTGGATCCCGGCTCTCCCCTTACTACCTGTGACCTTGGTCAAACTGCTGCACTTCTCTGTGCCTGTCTTCCCCTGCTGCTCAATTTCCTCATAGCAGCATTATTCCTACTAGCCAAAGAGTGGAAACAACCCCAATGCCCATCCCCTGATGAACGGACAGTTGAGCTATTCAGCCACCAAAAGGAAAGAAGTGCCGACGCAGGCTACAAGGTGGATGAACCCTGAAAACCTGACACTAGGTGAAGGGAGCCAGTCATAAGATGCCACATTTTGCATGATCTCATTTCTTTTTTTTTTTTTTTTTTGAGACGGAGTTTTGCTCTTGTTACCCAGGCTGGAGTGCAATGGCACGATCTCGGCTCACCGCAACCTCCGCCTCCCCGGTTCAGGCAATTCTCCTGCCTCAGCCTCCTGAGTAGCTGGGACTACAGGTGCACACCACCGTGCCCAGCTAATTTTTTGTATTTCAGTAGAGATGGGTTTTCACCATGTTGACCAGATGGTCTTGATTTCTTGACCTTGTGATCCACCCGCCTCAGCCTCCCAAAGTGGCATGATCTGATTTCTATGAAATGCCCAGAGGAGGCAAATCCATAAAGACAGAAAGTGGATTAATGATTGTTAGTGACTGGAGGGGAGGAAGGACAGGGGTGACTGCTAATGAGTAGAGGGTTTCTAGAATTAGTGGCTGTGGTCGCACAACCTTGTGAATATGAAAATATTAAAAACCATGCCGGGTGCGGTGGCTCACGCCTGTAATCCCGGCACTTTGGGAGGCTGAGGCAGTAGGATCACAAGGTCAAGAGATTGAGACCATTCTGGTCGACAGGTGAAACACTGTATTTACTAAACAACAACAAGAACAACAACAAATTAGCTGGGCATGGTGGCGCACACCTGTAGTCACAGCTACTTGGGAGTCTGAGGCAGGAGAATCGCTTGAATCCGGGAGGCAGAGGGTTGCAGTGAGCCGAGATTGCACCACTGCACTCCAGCCTGGAGACAGAGTGAGACTCGCTCTCTCTCAAACAAACAAACAAAAACCACTGAGTCAAACACTGTAAAGGGTGAATTTTGAGGTATATTAATTGTATCTAAATTTAAAAAGCAGACCAGCCTGGGTAACACAGAAACCTCATCTCTACAGATAATTTAAAAAGCTAGCTGTGCATGGTGGCACGCACCTGTGGTCCCAGCTACTCAGGAGGCTGAGGCAAGGAGGATCATCTGAGCCTGAGTTCGAGGCTCCAATGAGCCATGATCACACCATTGCACTCCAGCCTGGGTGGCGGAGTGAGACTCTGTCTCAGAAAAATAAAAAAAGAATAGCAATTCCTTTATTATAGGGGTATTGTAAGCATTAAATGAGATGATGTGTGAGAAAAGAATATAGCACAGTGCCTGACACAGAATGGGGACTCAGTCGTGTCATTCCCTACCCTGGAACCTAACAGATCATATTGATCGTTATTACCCAGTCAAAAATCTGCCACTGGAGTCCAGGTGTGATGGCTCACACCTGCAATCCCAACACTTTGTGAGGTTGAGGGCCGAGGCAGGAGGACTACGTAAGCCCAGGAGTTTGAGACCAGCCTGGGTAACTTAGGAAGACCTCATCACTACAAAAAAAAATTTTTTTTTAATTAGCCAGGCATGGTGGGAGGATCCCATGAGCCCAGAAGGTCAAGGCTGAAGTGACTTGTGATTGTGCCACTGTAATCTAGCCTTGATAATAGACTGAGATCCAGCCTAAAAATATATATATACACACACACACACCCCCTCCCCCACACACACATACACACACATAGATCTGCTTCTGTCTCTACATATATGCACACACACAAACACCCCACAGGCTAGCAAAATACTGTAGCCAAGAAACGTTTAAAATGTTTAAGTGTGAGAAAGTGAGTGTGTATGAATACTACATATTTTGAATAAACAAAACAAAAATAAGTCCCAGCTGGTTGGGGAAGCCAACGGGCTAAAGGGAAGTCAGACATCTCCCCTTCCCCGGCAGTGAACAAGGAAAGCAGATCCTTCTGGGAATTGTTAAGTGCCCCAGGTAGGGACTAGACTCAAGCTAGATTCAGAGCCAGCATGAGACGAGGCTCCCATGGCTCATTCCAGGCACTGGCAGCCTGCAGCCTTGTCTGTCCTGGTGACTGGAGAGGCTCGACACTCCCTGCAGCTAATTTCCCCAAGGCCACGTGGGAGCCCAGAGCCAGGACTCAGGTCTCCTGACTCAATCCAGGGTTCTTTCTTCTCTCAAGGCCCCAGAAGAGCCTAGAGCCTAGAGACCTCAATACTGCCCTTGCCACAAAGGGAAGAGTGGGGAGACAGTAGAGGAAGGGAATGCTATCCCAGGGTCAAGGCAAAAACACACCAAGCCCAGTGTTTATTATTTGAACCAAGATTTCAGCAGTGCCCAGCCAGCATTATTCACAGACAAAAGGTTGGTTCTCCCAGAAGGCTGACTTGCTACCTCCTTGTCCTATAAAAGCTCAGCGGCCCATCCCTTCTTAGCCTCTGATCTGACTCCTTACTTCAAGGCAGAACGGCATGTCTGAGAGTAACCAGGGACAGTGGTCAGAACAATGGCCCATACTCATTATAAGGCAGGTCTGGGCAGACAGAACCACATGGGAACGTGCACAAAACAATGGCAAGGAATCAGGAGACCCTCAGTTCTAGGTGCGCCTCCATCACAGTCTAGCCATGTGGTTTCGGCCCAGTCACTTCCCCTTCTGGGCCCCAGCTTACTGGAATATAGCAGGTGACCTTTGATTCTATGATTCTTCGACCTATGATTCGATGATTGCTACTACTCTATGAACTATGATTCTATGATTATTATTCTATGAACTATGATTCTATGATTATCATTCTGTCAACTATGATTCCATGATTATTCACTGACATGGACACACCTATTCCTGAACAAACATAAAACACCATTAAGACCACACACAAGGCCGGGCGCGGTGGCTCCAGCCTGTAATCCCAGCACTTTGGGAGGCCGAGGCAGGTGGATCAAAAGGTCAAGAGATCGAGACCATCCTGATCAACATGGGGAAACCCCGTCTCTACTAAAAATACAAAAAATCAGCTGGGCATGGTGGCGTGTGCCTGTAATCCCAGCTACTCGGGAGGCTGAGGCAGGAGAATTGCCTGAACCCAGGAGGCGGAGGTTGTGGTGAGCCGAGATCCCGCCATTGCACTCCAGCCTGGGTAACAAGAGCGAAACTCCGTCTCAAAAAAAAAAACCACACACAAATTGGTAGATGTAGCTCTGCACCCCTGAACACATGCACCTCAGCCTCTGCCACACTCGTCAACACCTGGACACTTGGGCCAACACTCAGAACCCCTGTAAGTCTCCAGACTTCTTTCCTACCACCTCCAAAGAGGAGCAAGACTGCAGGGAGAAGAGCAGTGACGACTGGGTGAAATAAGGCCCAGGCAGAAGCCCGGGATCTGGCGTTGCAGTGTGAAGGGTGGACGGACAGATAGCACCTGACCTGGGCCTTTCTCAATTCATCAGATGGGTCCTGCTGAACACCTCTGGCTGCACAATTAGCCTCAGCAGGGAGAAGCCGCCCATGCCCTCACTGAGTTTCCATTCTAACTGGGGGAACCAATCTGGCATTCACACTACGTGCTGTGTTGGAGCTTTTGACCTTGGGGAAGAAGATCAAGGTTTCAATCCTGCTGTTCCACCTACCAGCTCTGTGACAAGCCACTTAATCTTTCTGAGCCCCAGTTTCCACAGGCTTAAAATGAAGATGATAGCACCAAGCCTGAAGGAATTAAACAAGACAATGTATGTCACGGCTACAGCCCAGAGCCCAGCAGACATCACTCAAGGAATGGGAGCTTATTCTTTGTTTATTTTTAAGGCAGTTGTGCTCTGTCGCCCAGGCTGCAGTGCAATGGTGCAATCTTGACTCACTGCAATCTCCGATTCCCAGGTTCAAGCAATTCTCCTGCCTCAGCCTCCCAAGTAGCTGGGATTACAGGCATGTGTCACCACCACACCTGGATAGTTTTTGTATTCTTAGTAGAGACAGGGTTTCACCGTGCTGGCCAGGCTGGTCTCAAACTCCTGACCTCAAGTGATCCGCCCGCCTCGGCCTCCCAAAGTGCTGGAATTATAGGCATGAGCCACTGTGCCCAGCCAGGAGCTTATTCTTTAAAGGTACTTTGAAAGTATAAAGGGCTATACAAGTGCTATTCGTTGTTCTTATCATCCAGTCCCTTCTATCTCTAAGGCCCTAGATTCCATAATTCCAGTACAGGATAGGGGGAAGGCAATCCTGGGCTCTCATCCCAGAGGCTTCCAAATGCCCATTCCAGCCACTAAGCAGTAGGTTTGGGTTTCAAGAGAGAAAAGCCCCACAGGACACGAATCCCGGAGTCCTCCAGCAGCCTCCCAGCCCCCTAAAGCAAGTCCCAGGCTTGGAAAATCCCCTGCTGCGCTGAACAAACAATGTGCACAGTTGGGGCCGGAGCAGCTGCTGGGTATGTCAGCAGCCTGGGCTCTGGCAGTCAGGACGGTGGCCAGAGGGGCTGGTGGCTGGCTGGGGAGCCCAGAGGAGGCTCCAATTCCCTTCCTGAATATTCATGGATCAGCAGATGTCTGGCTTCCCCATCTCTGAGGAGCTCAGTAAGGCAGGAACAGGGAAAGCAACAAGGACGCAGACACGGAGAAAACAGGGGTGCCCCTCAGAGAGCAGCAGTGCTGTGCCAGGAGCCCAAGACAATCCATTTAGTGGACATGTCTGTGAAGCCTGAGAATCCTCATTCCACAGATGAGGAAACTGAGGTCTGGGGAAGGGTCTCACCTCTCTGGGAGACAGTCTGGGAAAACTGCCCTACTTTGACTTTT